TAATCCTTTCACCAGGCCAAGGAATAAATAAAAAAAGAACTCCATGGACAAAATAATAAAAAAACAACGTGTAAAATCTTATATAAAAGAAAAATGTGTTGAATTCTATGAAATAAAAGAAAATAGAACACAGAAAATGCCGCCAATTCGACCCTGCTATTTACTATTAATTTAACCTGTTGAATAACTACACATGCACCAACTTAGTACAAACTACTTTTAGTTTTACTTTTACTTTAGGGAGAGTGGTGTATCACTTTAAGTTTTCGCCCCATTTTGTAATTGTATTATGAACTCTAGCTAAACAATCAGCACTAGGAACCCAACAATAAACAACCTCTTTGCAAATAGAAAGTGGACAAAATAATATGTGATCCGTCTCTCAATATCAGCTGGTTAGTAAAAAAAACAAACACTCACATAACGCCTCTTTGGGTGGTTCATGGTCAACCATAGATTTCGTTGACCCGGGGTATCTTCAACACCAACACTTTTATTTCAAACTCCCCTGTATCCATTACCGGTTTATAATTTCACTACCGATTTTCCCTAAATTTCGCACCTCGCGCTTACAAACAAAATAACTCCCCTATTTAGGCCACCTTCCTCTGCCTCGAAAGCTGAGGGGTGAGACCACCGATCTCGTCCCGTCGGGCTCCGATGACTGACTTTTTCTGTCTCTTCAAAAAACTTTCAAGTCCTCGCATCAACAACGCTAGCCACAAAAAACATCAGCGTTTTTTAACTTTCCCAAGCGTTTGATCTTCGGCAGGATGTAATATATACATTTGTTTAGTCTAGCCCAACTTGTACATGACTACAACGACGCTTGAAGGTCCGACAGTCATAAAATAGTTTAACTGGAAAAATATCGACACCGAAGAAACAGGTGATCGACCTCGATCTCTATGAATGAAATAGTATTTTATGGTATCCATCGCAATGGCAGTTTTTACAGTAGTTCGTCCTTATTGTAGTCCAACAACTGTTTGTTATCAGACTTCGAAGGGTGAATAAACGCCTTGGAGTGAGCCAATTCTGGAAGACTTTGCCAGAAGTCCATAAATTTCTTGCCATCCAGTTGTTCAATCTTTGTTTGGCAACGCCTAAAACGATTCCAATGACAGGTTCTGGTCTGATGAAGCTGCTTGCAGCTTCCTCCTTTGCAAGGGAGTCAGCAGCCTCATTGCCTTCCAGTCCAGTGAGGCCAGGAATCCAGACCAGAGACAATTTGTTGTCTTCCTATCGAGGAGAGTCGTTTTTGGCAATTTGCTACCAATTCAAACGTAGCTCGATAGAAGCCAGGAACTTCCAACGCCACTTGACTGTCCGAGGATATTTTTATTGACTTATGTATGATGTTGGATTCTTCCAATCTCTCCGCACACAATTCAATAGCGTAAATTTCTGCTTGAAATACAGTCGTATAGGTTCCTAGGCGGATTGACATCTCTGTCCCGGGTCTGCGACTAAAAAGACCTGCACCAGAACCGGAAGGTGTTTGATCCATCTGTGAACTAACAACTATCTGCGCTTAATATTCCCCTCTTTCGGAGGATGCAGTCCTCTCTACTCGAGAATAGTATTCACTAAGGCAGTTCGTAGTTGACAGTTGGAGGCATAAAGTCAGAGGTCATTTCCAGAATGTGCTGTGACTTTAAGCGTCAACCAACAGTCTGTTGCACTCAGCATTAAATTGATTTGTGCAATTGGCAATGTGCACAAGTCTATATGCAGTCCATCTAGCTTCTCTCTCCAGAAAAATATGGAGAGGAGGTAGATCTAGAAGGATTTCAATGATCGCTGACGGTGTAGTACTGATGGCACCACTGATGGATAGACAAGCCTATTTCTGTAAGCCAGAGGGCTACGCCTGGGGCTTTTTCTGTAAAGCCTTCGGCCACCAGGCAATTGCACCATAAGTGATCATTGGACTGACAGTCATCACATAAATCCAATGGATTTGTTTGGGACCTAAACCTAAAGTTTTATCATACACTAGCTATGGTAATTTTTTGGTGGGTTTTCGCCTTTGCGAAGTGCCTGGTATCCAACCACTGACTTGAACGTCTCCTTTTGTGGTAGAGGATCCACTTTTCATCACACGTGATGAAAGGACCGTTTTGGTTGCGCAGAAGCAAAGAAGAACAGACCTTGAAAAGTGACAATTTCTGTCGATCGTGGAACACCCACTTTACGAGCTTTTTGACCTTCTCCAACACGTTTTATACCATCAAAAACCGAATGGGAACTAACGCCTAGTTCTTCTATCATCAGTAGACGGGTCAGTCTCCACCAGGATCCTCGAATCCTTCTCCTGGATTACTCTAGGTCTACCACTTCGGGGCTCATCTTCGAAGCTAAAATCTCCGGAACAAAATTTCGCAAAGCTTCGTTAACACTATCATTGCCAAATGCATTTTTGAACAGTTTTTCAATTGTACCCTCATATTCATTCAATAATGATATACAGGGCGATTTCTCTCAAAAAAGAACTCTATGTATCTTCATGATCTGAAGGCTTATACCCGCATTTCAGGTTCGGATTTAACGTCATGTTTGCTCGTAAATGCAAGTAATAAAACAGGAAGACTCGTCAAGGAATATAAACAACCCAAACACTCAGTAATAAATGTCAGAATGTTGATCTTACGAGGCTTCTAATGTGTTTTTATAGTCGATAAGACTTCTAATCCTTTCACTAGGCCAAGGAAATCAAATCTTGCGGGCAATAACATCAGATTGCAAAATAGGCTTTGTTTATTGCAAGTCACGATAAATTTTGGTATACACTTTGAAAAATGAAAAGTAATTTCGGTGTAACTCAATATTCGTTAAGGAAGTGGTTGCTTCAGGTAGACTTTTTATACCAGTTTGTATAAAAAAAAAGATCGACGTGTTTGTTGAATTTTCCGTTCAATTTTTTTCCATTCAATACATACAGGGTGTTTTTCATAAGTACTGTAATTAGACAAGTAAAGCAATACCTATTCAACATTCACTCGTAACACGGAAAAACGACAATAATTGCAGTTATAATAAATGTTCAAAATGTTTTCCATCCTCTTTAGGTACTGAAACAGAGCCGGCTCTGCGAGGTAATTCGAATAAACACATTGCCGCAAATATTTTGAAGTCTGAACCCGTTCGTGCAATTCAGTTCAATAAAGAAATGAGAATTACAAAATCAATAAAACAAAAAGCAAATTATAGATAGTTTTTACAGTAGCAGACAAAGGTCGATCAGTAATTGCCATAGATCTATAACGAATACGTCAGGAGAACCCTGGATTTTTTTAATTTAGTATCTTGCGGTATCATGGGCGTATAATGATGTTCATTTAAGAAGGTTTGTGGAAAATTGCAAAGTCATGTTTATTATTAATTTATTATCACTTTTATAGAACGATTTATCTTTTGCTTCAAAATAGGCCTCACTTTCAGCAATAACCTCTTCCGGTTAGCATTTTTTGAGGTC